GATGGATGGATGGATGGGTAGATGGATGGATGGGTAGATGGATGGATGGATGGGTAGATGGATGGATGGGTAGATGGATGGATGGATGGATGGGTAGATGGATGGATGGGTAGATGGATGAATGGATGGATAGAGGTCAGTATTGTGGTGATTGTAGACAGGCAGGTTGGCAATCAGACAGGCATTACAGACGACATGACAACAAACAGGGAAACAGGCCGACAGACTGAAACACAGACAGAAACACACACATATGGACAAAGACGAACAAAAAAAAGAGAGAGAGACAAGACAGACAAAGAGACAGATTAACAGACTGACAGTCGGACAGACAGACAGACAGACACACACAGTAAACTGACAGACTGTTAGGACCTGTTTCTAAAACCTGGATGTGTTGTTAACGGAGGGCTTCGTGCTCTGCAGAGGTCGGACCAAGTCACAGAGTCTCTTTAGTTCTAAGACCAGAACAAGTCACTGAGTCTCTTTAGTTCCAAGACCAGAACAAGTCACCGAGTCTCTTTAGTTCTCTTTAGTTTAATAATGTATTTTATCATTAAGTCACACTTGAAAAACTAGAAATACTTTGTCATTACTACGTCTTTCAAGTATTTATACTTGTCAGAGTACAATATTCACTAATAAACTTCTCATTTAGTTTCACAGTTCATGACTCAAAGAGGTAAAACAGGAGAGAGTTTGTCAGAACTTATTTTCTTCTTCTTCCATTAATCCTGTGTCGACCCCTCAGATGTATCTGGTGACACTGTGGAGGGGCTCGGGCCCTAGGTTGGGACCCACTGGACTAAACTCTCTGACTGTATATAACTTAGTTACAGTAACATGCTGCTGCAGTACTCACTATCTGATAATATAATATATAGACACACATTGGTGACATTCTACTGCACAATGAGTACTTTTCCCAGTAATGCTTGTGTACTTTTGTGAATGTTTAGGACATTTACTTGTACTGGAGTATTTTCACAGTTTTTACTGGTACTTTTACTGAGCGTACTTCCTCCAAAACTCAACTATTGTGACATGAAAACCCATGAGATCCTCCCAGTCCTCTATCTCATCACACTATCACCCTGATGGTGTAAGAAATGCCCTTTCCTGTCGAGTCACTGCTGCTCTGATCCAAGTCCTCCAGATGTTCTCAAGTCCAGTCTGAAGTCATCACACATGAGTTGAGTCCAGACCTCTGCAGAGGTTCCCAGAACTTATTCATGTTATGAAACAAAGTTTAATACATCGAGGTGATAAAAGAATGATAGTAACACAACATGTCATCACACAGACACCACAGGACACCAACATGGAGACTCAGAGTGTACCTGAGGGCCGATCCTTTGGGCGTGGCCACTCCGTAACCTTTGGAGTCCAGGTTTCCTCCTACTTTCATGGTGTCGCAGGGCTTCCTCTGCTCAATGTACTCGTTCATGGACGACTCCAGCAGGTAGGCGTACTTCCCCTTCGACTTCCTGACCCTCATCACGCCCTCGGGGGTGCTCTTGACGAACACCGTGGGGTCGGCGCTCCGCATGTACGACCACATCTTCTCAAAGACGGCGATCTTTGACCGCTAAAGTAGAAGAAGAAAGAGGTCATCAGGGTGTCATGTAGACTCCTTTCTGTTTAGGCACAGTAACTGAAGCTAGCTAACGCTGGCTGTCAGGTTTCCTTAATAACAGCTGAAGAACAGCTGTTCTGCTCTAAAGTCATGTTCTACTTCTACTTCTACTCATCATGGTTCTGTTTCCACAGAGGAGCAGGGCTTTTATTTTGAAGTGAACAACCAAAGCCACACAGAGAGAGATGTGACCGGAGAAGAAGAAAGCCTGTTTGGTGTTCAGACGTGTTTTACAGCTCTTCACTTAAGAAAGTCAAAGAATGCAGAACATGGTCGTCTTCAGAGCAACAGAGAAGAAGAGAACGAAGCGCTTCACAGTTCCTAACAGAACCCATGTCAGAAGGCCTCACCTTGAAGAACTCTTTGGTGGAGCCTCCATCCAGAGTACCGTAGGCGATCTCGGTCTGCTTGGCCAGGTCCTCTGAGCCCTCGATGGGCGACACCATCCTCTCCACGGTGAGGAAGGCGGCCAGGTTGGCTGTATAGGAGGAGATGATGATGAGGGTGAAGAACCACCAAACTCCTCCCACGATTCGACCGGAGAGAGACCTGAGGAAGAAGACGGGTCAGTGTCATCTCTCTGGACCCACAACGTCACCACGACAGTGTGATGGTCTGTGAACATCAACAGCACCACACGGTGTACTTTGACTTTGTTATGGTCATTTATACTGTTTATTTCTTCATAGAAACACTTCAGATGATAAGGACATAACATACAGTGTTGTTGTTGTCATTATTGTTTGTAGTGAAGTCTAGTAATGAGCTCAGAGCTCGTGTTGGAAGGTAAACATCATAATTCATCTCTCATATGTTTCATATTAACGTGAACACATCTCCTTCATTCATAGTCCCAGAGGATGAGGATGATGATCTTAACTGCTCCTAAAACACACACACACACACACACACACACACACACACACACTGCAGTAGATCTAGAATAGAAACAGCCTCAGGCCTTCACACAGCTGTAACATACAACTGACCCGGCAGCACGTCACACAGGATTGTCTCATGATAACGTGTGTGTGTGTGTGTGTGTGTGTGTGTGTGTGTGTGTGAGACGTGTCCACATTAATACGTTCTGTAGACCACTGATGGATTGCTTATGTATCTGTGTGTGTTACTGTGCTTGTGAGGACAGTGTTAGTACAAGGTGAGGGCTGTGGGTGAGGCAGGAGACGATTAGCTTAGCTTAGCATAAAGACTGGAATCAGAGGGGAACAGCTAGCCTGGCTCTACCTAGAGAGAGTTAATAATCCATAATGTGTGTGAAACATGTTGTGGAAGTCTCAGATATCCTGGTTCATGACATCATCTGGAGCTGTGTTCACACGCCAGCTGTTCAGCACATCTGTAAGAGCACTAAACACACTGAGCTGTGATCAAATCACAATAAACTCAGACTCATGATGCAGGAATAACTACACAATGATGAAGATTAGGAACAAGTCTGAATCCATGTTTGGACAAACAAATAACTTTTAAAATGTTTGTTTCCTGAATAGAGTCTGCTTCTATCAGTGCTAAGCTAAATGCTAACATTGTAGCAGCTCCATCAGCACTCAACATGACATCATACTCATCACTTTAAAACATGTGTTTGTGTGTGTGTTGTGTTGGTCCAGGTCTTGGTCCTGGTCCAGGTGTCCTACCTGGGTGAGATGTCACAGCCCTGCTGCATGAAGGCCCCCAGTGAGAACCACAGAGAGTTAAAGATCCCAAAGTCGTTGGTGTGCTCCAGAGTCTCCTTCTCCTTCTGCTGGTTCTGGTTCTGGTTCTGAGGGAACCCTGAGGAACGCCACCATTATCATCGTGTTACTGAGGGACCAGATTCACATGGGACCACCAGGAACATACATGATGAAGGTGATGATGATGATGAAGATGAAGATACCTGGAGAGTGAGCCAGTTCAGAGGAGGAAGTGGGCAGAGCTCGACGAGAGGAGGGCAGAGTCTCATCTTCATCATCAGACTCCTCCCCCTGCCACTCATAGGGGCTGAAGCGGCTCACCTGAGACACAGGAGGACTGTCAGCTCAGGTAGTACAAGTACCAGTACTATCAGCTTCAGGTACTAGTACACAAGGACTGTCAGCTTCAGTAAAAGTACACAAATACTATCAGCTTCAAGTAGTAGAAGTACCCTCTCACCAGGAACAGCACCACGCTGACTCCGATGTAGGCGAACACGATGCACATCCAGATCTCGTAGGCCAGCGGGTCGAGGAAGGAGAACACTCCAGGTTTGGACTTGATGGGCTTCTTGATCATGATGGAGATCCCCAGAGACATGAAGGGTTTGGTGAAGTCAATCACCTGCTCTCTGACCAGAGTGATGGTGAGCGGGGCCACGGCCACGTCAGCCTTCTGCACACACACACCACATCCTGTTCATCACCAACACAAACACCGCACTGCTGCACCAACACGTGGATCAATACGCCACTGAAAGTAGTCCCTAACAAAGTCTCTTCTCCTCTCCTCCTCTCCTCCTCTCCTCTCCTCTCCCCTCCTCTCCTCCCCTCCTCTCTCCCCTCCCCTCCCCTCCCCTCCTCTCTCCCCTCCCCTCCCCTCCTCTCCTCCCCTCCTCTCCCCTCTCTCTCCTCTCCTCTCCTCTCCTCTCTCCTCTCTCCTCCTCTCCTCTCCTCTCCTCTCTCCTCTGTTTCCGTTTCCGGTTGCGTGTGAGTGTGAGTGGTGGACGTGAGAGTGGCGCGGAGGTTTGATTGTACTTTCACTGCTTTGGGTTTTGTTCCTCTGTTCTTCTGTCTCTGCGCATGAGCAGGTAAGATACTAAGCAGTGTATTTATCGGTAGAACGTGTGATTAGTGGTGTTTGGCGTTGTTCGGGAGAATGGCGTCCTCCGAGACGCCACGCCCGTCAATCCGGCAGGGAGTCCGGGTAGTTCCACCGGATAGCAGCGTGTCAGTAGAGGAGGTGCTGCTGGCTGTGGAGAGCAGGTGGGACATGACAAACTCTCCTTTGCATCTCGCATGAATAAAGCTGTGGTTGTGTTCGTGGCGAGC